CCCTTTTTTTTACCGACCTCAAAAAAAGTTATCGTGCAATTAATTGATTTATTGACTATCGCGACAGGCCTATTGCAAACCACTGTAATAGTGACTGTGGAGGACCGAGACCCAACCCCCAAGACACGAGGCAGACATGGGGAAGACCAGAGTCCAAGGGCCTGAGAGGAATCCCGAGCGCAGAGCCCCAAGGGGCACCCGCACGGGAAGATCCGCCCACCCACCCCCCAGATCAGACCATAGGAGAGAACTGGGAGAGTCCCCCCAGCGACCACATGCACCGCCCCCTGGGGCCAGCAGTGACAAACTCATGGGCCCCACCGGCACCCGCCATACCAAAGCAGATCCAGGAAAGGGTACAGAGGTCCGGGCCCCCAGGGTGCACCCCCTCCAGGCCAAAGCCCAACAGGTCCAGAGCCCCGAGCCCCAACAGGCAGTCACCAGGCCAGGCCAGCACACACCCCAGCGCCCAGCCCCAGCGAACCCCCAGCACGTCGGTGGCCAGCCGCACACCCCACCGGGGGGCCGAGTAGAGAAGTGATTCTTGCTGTAGGTGTGGCCTCTGCTGAAGTTTAAAACAATTGGCTCGGTTGGCTGCAATGTATGTCGCTGTGACGGAGGCTAAGCTAAGAAGCTAACCAGAAATCGCGTGTGCTGTAAACAACCCTACTGAGAGGAGAAATATACSGAGCTGAACGAGACGACTGTAAATGAGAGCTGCTGCTTTGTCAGAYAAATTTATTTTAATTTGAAGCCTTATCAACACAGACTGGCTTCATTCACTTCCTCCACTGCTGTATGCTAAAATAACTAGCAGACACTGAGCAGAACATCAATGTCATTCAAAACTCCACCTTCTGTTCTCTGATTGGTCCAGGTAAAATAAACTACAAGAGACACTGCGGAGAAAATCAACATTCTGTTCTCTGATTGGCCCGGCTAAAAACCTGCCAGAGAAATCCTTGTCAATGGGAGAAGTCCCAGACGGAGCAGTGAAGGAAACTAGAACTGAGCGGAGCTGTGTAGGAAGGAGAGGTCCAGGCTAGTTCCCTACATTCTTGGTGTGTCCGTGTGAAGCCAGGAGGCGGCGCAATTGTCATTTTAACATACCAGTAAAAAGTTAATGTTCTTTTACTCCCCTATTTTATCGTCTGGGTGTGCAGGATTAATGCATGTTAAATATTTGAATTAACAGTGGACATTAGTTTGATGTTCAATGTGCAGATTTTGAAACCCTAGAATCTAATCAGACGGATCGAGAAGCTGAAACGGTG